TTTGAGCAAAAGGGTTATCGATGGGGGCAGTGCTATGCGAGATTCGCATGGATTGAAGTTTTGTCAACACAGTTTGGAGGGTACCATGAATTTGATCAAAGCTAGACTCATGTCGAGCTAGGATTTCGCTGACTTCATTGCGAAATTCAGCGTTGCTTTTGGCCCGAGTATCCATGTAACTTGGCTCTGATACCAAAATGATAAGGAATTTGTGAGAAAACAGTTAGAGAAAGAGAGCAAGAAAAAGAACAGAGGCTTAGGCTATTTATAAGCCAAGTCAGAAAACAGTATACAAAAGATAAATGCAAAAAAGACGTGGTAGATCATGGAAGAAGTGGTTTACGACCATGTGCCGAAAATAATGAAAACAAACTACCATAATGAAACATGTTACCACTAATGAAACATGTACCAAAATGATAAGGAATTTGTGAGAAAATAGTTAGAGAAAGAGAGCAAGAAAAAGAACAGAGGCTTAGGGTATTTATAAGCCAAGTCAGAAAACAGTATACAAAAGTTAAATGCAAAAAAGACGTGGTAGATCATGGAAGAAGTGGTTTACGACCATGTGCCGAAAATAATGAAAACAAACTACCATAATGAAACATGTTACCACTAATGAAACATGTGCAGACAGGAAGGAAAACAAACTATTACTAAACCTATTTCTAAGGCAATATATTCCACCTATGCATGACCACTTCCATCATTACCCCACGAACATATCAAATTTCTTCTATTCTACCTTTGAAAATAAACGGATCCATAGAGTTATCCATATCAATAAAGATGGTATTATAAACCGATCGATTCAAAAGGGGGACAAAGAAAGGTGCATAAAAAGAGATAGATGATTTGAATAGTTCTATTATATGTATTAATTTTTTGAATTTCATACCTAAACTAGAGTACTCTTAAAAAGAGTGCTAATTAAATGACATTTAATTACTGTTCAAAATAAATAAATAAATGACTATTAGAAAAATGGTAACCATTGCATCATTATGATTTTTTATTTTATTTTATTTTATTTTGTTTTATTTTATTTTATACAAACTAACATAATTTATAATTTTTTAAACTATTGGTGTGTATTGATTTTTTTAAAGAATTTGAAACATGGTTTAACGATATGGTTAAATAATAAAAAATTATAAAATTTATTAGTTTGTTTAGCATTACTCATTTTAGAATAAAAAGATGCATGCATACAAAATTTAAAGTCTAATTTTTTTTTTTTTGGGGATAAATAAGTCATATTATAACCAAAAAAGATAAATATACAATGAAGTTCAATACATATCCTTTGTAGGGAGAACAAACATAAACAAAGAAATAAACCACTCCCTCAAAAGAAACAAACTAAACCTATAGATGACAAACACAACAAACTAAGCCTAAAGTCTAATTTTGTTTACATATCTATATGAACTGTAAGTAAAATACATTTTCTATTATAAAAATGTTTTAAGTCTCAAATTTTTTGTTAAATATATGACTAAATATCTTGTATGAACGTAAAATCTATAAATTCATAGATCGCACATCTATATGAGACATTTAATCATTTATTTAATAAAAAATTTGATATTCCTAATATCATCCTTTCTATTATGGTTAAGCTCTTCAACTTTGAATGGATTGATGATAATTTTAGAAGGAGAGATGCATTTAAACTATTTAATAAATGTGATATAATGGGTAAAAAATAACATCAATACTGTTATATGCGTTAATTAATATATTAATTAATATCCATATTAATTATAATATTATTATTAATCATATTCATTATATAAATTATAAATATTAAAATTTTTTTAAATTATGTTACATTATCAATTGGTATATTAATTAATGTCAAAATTGGTCGCTTGTGAGAGCCGGCCAGTCAGCTGACTCAATTTGACTGTTGATTTGGCACTGTCTCCATCCCACCACGACCATGAGCACGAGCACACAAAGTGGACTGACTGCTCGCAACTCCCAACTACTAGTTGAAAAGTCTCCAGGCTGTTAAAGTCAGTGAATCCATTTCAAATTCAAATCGACCCCAATTAAAATCCGCCGACTTGGGTTAAAATAAATAAAATCAGGAGTAATGGCAGCAATTTTAAATAATCTATTAAATATTTTATTAAATTTTTTATATCGTTAATGTTACACACAAATTTACATATGTATAAATTTCACATCTATGTAAAAAATTTAATAAAACATTTGATAGATTATTTAAAATTCCTAACATTATTTAAAATCATCACTTTTTATTTGATTAAGAGATTTAGAAAAAAATTTAAGAAGAAAAAAGAAAAGACAAAAAAAAATATCTAAAATTAAGCAAAATGTAAATATATTTTAGGAGTTTTTTTTTTAAGATCTCTGGTATTAAGGTTTTATAGCATAAAGGACATTTCATAATTTCATAATGTCTAAGGTCCCTCAATTTCATCCAGAGAATTTATCTGGACTTTCCAAAGAAATTCTATCCAGAAAAATTCTATCTAGAGTAATTCTGGACCAGAGAAATTCTCTCAAATCCAAAGAAATTCTCTGTTTCTCTCCAGAGAAATTTCCAAATTATGTAAAGAACTAACAGCTATGGTTTTTAACTTTAAAAAAAAAAAAGAGGGCAAAACAACACCACCAGCACCAGCACTGATGCAAAGAGAAATGTGCACACCAGACAGATCATGCACAAAATTATTGCACTGAGTACAACCAAGAAAAAATTCCTTTGGACTTTCAAATTTCTCTCATCCACTCTCCAGAGAATTTCTCTGGCCTTCTCTCATCTCCAGAGAAATTTCCCTTCTCCCTAGAGAAAATTGAAATTTCTCTGAACAAAATTGTTTGTTTCTATAGGATCCTTTCTCTGTAAAACCAGAGAAAATTTAAATCCTTTACTAGAGAAAATTCAAAATCTTGTACCAGAGAAAATTGAAACCAGAAAAAAATTCCAAATCATTTTACCAATCAAATCCTTTATCAGTTGAATACAAGAGAAAGAATGAGAAGTGTAATATGTATACTAATAGTACACAACCAAAGTAAAGTGCTCACCAGAGAAAATTCTAGACCAGAAAAATTCTGGACCAGAGATTGAAACCCAGAGAAAGTTACTGCAAATAAATTGCTCAAATTCATACATTTCACACTACCAATAGCCGACATACATACGCAGCTCAAACAACAAAAGCTATTAGAAAGGGAGAGAGAGATTCTAGAGAATTTTTTTAGAGAGATTTTATCTGAATTTCCAAAGAATTTGAATTAGTTTGAATTATGAGAATTTTGTGACTGAATAATCTTTGCTGATGTGTTTTTTTTGTTTTTTTCTTTATAATATATAATTTCAGGAACTGGTGACATATTGTCTTTCTTTGCTCATTTCAATAGTATGGCTTCAAGATCATCCCCAAAGCTTCAGAATCACATTAGGGAAAGTCAAGTCGTATGACTATGACCTTTGTGAGGAGAACTTCCTTAGGTCGATCTGTCAACTATTGGAGGGAGTCGAATGATCTCGATATCAAAATTGGCAATAGTGAATACATGGACTACACGGTGCACATTCCATCAACACCTGACCATCAACCCATGGATTCATCAATCTCTCAGAAGAGAAAGACATTCAGTGGCTAGAGATTCAACCAAGGCTTGATTGAAGTAAATGGACGTTTCGGGACGTGAGAGGAGAAACAGGCGGTGGCGGTGACAGTGATGCAAGCGGAGCGGACGACAGAGTCGGGTCACGGACGTGACAAACTATGGCGGAAAGGAGTTTGGAGAGAGAGCAGGAATTGAAGCTTCAAAAAGAAGACAAAAATCACCGTGCCAATGGCGGCGACACGGTGGACTTCGTTTCTCTTGCGACGGCGAAGATGAAGAAGAAGAAGCCCCAAAAAATCCCCCTCTTCGAGCTCAACAACCCTACCCCTGCCAAACACAAGAAGAAGAAGCCCCAAAAAATCCCCCTCTTCGAGCTCAACAACCCTACCCCTGCCAAACACCTCACCAACGTAGATCTAATGTTGCTTCCTACCGGTTCACGCGAGCGAACCGCCAAGGAGAGAGATGAGGGTTTTTTGGGTCTAAGTCTAGGGTTGATGATTCTGAGAGTTGGGTATCGATGAAGAGCAGAGTCAAATTTCTTTGATATGATATATGGGTGTGAGTCTAGGGACCTTAGACATCAAAAAATAATATTATAGATTTTTTCCATTACTAAAAATGGGAAAATGACCTTAGACTAATTTTTCCTATATTTTATTCATATTTTATTTGTTTTTTTCTTTTTAAATCTTTCAACCAAACACAATATTATTATGAAAATATATAATAAAATAAAATAAATTGAGTTAACTCAACTTTCTAAAAAAAGAAAAAGAAAAAAAAAATACTCAACCTTGTAAATAATGTCTATTTACCTATGAACATTAAAGACGTAATTCAAATATTTTAGATTAACTATTTAGGCTTGATTTTTGAAGTGGGTTGACTTTTTGATTTTTTTAGTTATTTTAATCTGGACTAAAAAGCTTAGTTTGGGAAGAATTTTTTGACTTTTTGATTTTTTTGACTTTTTTTTGTGAGAGACGTGTTTTTGTGAGAGAAGAGTATAATGATTATGGGTTGGATGTGATGTTTTGTTTGTTGTGATTAAAATAGTCTATTTTGTCTTTTGTGACTAAAATAACAAAAAAAAAAACCTCAAATCTTGCTTCCCAAACGGTGCCTAGAAGTTGAGTTACGTTGAGAAAGAAAGGAATTCGATTCGATGAGTAGGTACACAACACAGCCGGGTGATTTAGTCTGAGTGATATGTATTTCTTTTGTACACAAACAATCAGAGAGAAGCCCCCAGAACCATTCAGCAGGGGAATCATCACTCACCGTCACCGTCACCTCTCCAGCGAACCATCAATACTTTTTTTGGTTTTTTTTTTGTGTTTTCTTGGATCGGGAAACAAAATCGAAATTAAAACTGCAATGGGCAATGAGATGAAAAGCTGATCACTTGATTGAGGGCTTCCTGATTAAAATCAATCTCTGTGCTGATCTACTTTGCTATATTTATGTAAATAGCTCGTAATACAAAAGTAATTAAGGCAATTTTGAAAGCTGTTTCTAGCTATATATATCTAGCATGGCACGGTATACATGCTCAAAATGACCATCGCAGAATATATATATATATAGGAATAATGAGAATCTACAAGACAGAATGGTGAGAAATTTTTCTGATGCTCCTCTTAACTCCAAAAAAAGCAACAAGTTTCTTCTTCTTCTTCTTCTTCTTCTTCTTCTTTTTCTTCTTCTCGGTGGATTCGGTAATGGTCTCCAGCTTTGGCTTCCAGCAGGACTGCCGAGAGTAGCCAACAAGCTGCGAGTATTCTTTCTGTAACTGAGCGGTCGTGCATACTCTACTAGTGCTAGTGCTAGTGCTGCTTCTGCTGCAGCATACTCTTCCATCGTCTTGATCTTGATCTAGTTCATCTTCCTCCTCCTGTTGCTTGATCTTTCCTTGGCCCATCATCAATTTCCATAAAAACTCTTCAGTCACGCGTATTCTGACGCTACCGGATGGAGTTTTCTGCATATGGAAGGGTTGGCAATTACTGGTAGTACTACTCTTTGCCTTGTTGAGAAATGCATTCTTCTTCTGGTTGTTGGATCTACTACTAGTACTAGTATTATTAGAGATAGAGGTAGATGATGATGCGAAAGAAGTTATGGTGAGGAAAGACAGGGCGGATTGGAAGAAATGTATGGGAAGGAGGAAGTAGTTGTGGCCAGGCTGGAGTTGGTCTTCCTGAGAGAGAGGTGGGATCTTCTGGCCTATGTACAAGGAATCAGAGCGGCACACCCTGTGCTTTGGGAACTCTAACATCAACTCTGAGACTTGGATGGGCCGCTCATACATCTTCACCACCCCATCCCATCTGATCAGCTTTATGCTTCTTCCTCCTCCTCCGCCTGGTGGCTCCTGCTGTCGCAACTGCACGCAGGAGACGTGATTCCCCATCAAATAGAAACAGCAAAACCAAGCTATCATTTGGAGTTTTTCCACTACTTTTACTTTGGTAATAATTAATCACTACTCAATAAACAAACAAGCAACGCAAGATGAGAGGAAAGGAAAGGCATGGAGACGAGATGAATGGACAAAGATACAGAGAAAGAGGTGAGGCGGCTTGTGTTTTCTTTTTGTTTTGTGAGAGACTAGAGTAGGAGAGGAGAGGAGAGGAGAGGAGAGAGAGGGAGAAATTGCTCACTCAGATCAAGGAGGAGGCGAGAGGAGAGATAGAGTATGCGAGGCGAGAGACCCTGGTAAGGGAAAAGAATAGGAAATATGCTATAATTCCAAATTTTCTATCAAATGAATGATCAAACCTTTCATATAAGTGTGAGGTCCACAAAAAAGTGAACCCATACTCATGTGAAAGGTTTAATCATTCATTTAGTAAAACTTTTTTATATCTCTAACATTACTCAAAGAATAAAGAATAGCTTTATGGCGCATCGGACTGTGTAATAGTATTATCATTGGTGGCAGTATCTTTTCATTTTGGGGGGGGGGGTCTTTGTTTGAAAGTTTGACTCATTTTGTTTGACCAAACTCTCCTTTCTACGAAGGCAGTTCGTTGAGGCCGACAATAATTTTTGAATCAGATCCCCCGCCCCTATGATTACCAGGTTCCCCCCGTCACAAAACATGAGTGTAATATTATCCAAACAACAATGATTCATCTAATTAAAAATATCACTACTAATAGTACTAATGCATTAAAAAAGTAAAAAAAAAAAAAAAAATCAGATCCCCCGCCCCTATGATTACCAGGTTCCCCCGTCACAAAACATTAGTGTAGTATTATACAAACAATAATGATTCATCTAATTAAAAATATCACCACTAATAGCATTAATATATTAAAAAAAAAAATATATAACTCAAAGACCAAAACATCACATCATTAATGACGGGACCTACTGCCACCTAATTAGTAGGAACACTAATTAGTGCTCCCAAACATTTTTCTTATACAAATCCCTTTTTAAATAAATTTATGGTCTAGAAAATAGATTTTATTTTGGGCGTTTGGATTGAATTTTTTTTCCCCCAAAGGCCCAGGCAATAATTTGTTCTGTCCATAAGGACAAATTGCAACAAAATGACTAAAATACCTTTACACACAAATAAAATTATTTTGTTTTTTGTTATTGTTGTTGTTGAGCAAATAGATTTTTTTTTTGTAGAGAGAAATTTTTAACAGAGAGATTACATAAAATAGCTCAGATCTGTTCAAAATTTGAACAGATAGTTGCTTTGATGTATTTTAATAACAAAGATTTGAACATATAAATAGCATTCGATGAAAAAAATTGAGCACATTATAAAATTGGGAGATTTACCAATAAATCCCAAAATGTAAACTTATGAACCAATTAGTCCCATTTTTATTCTAGTAAACCGTTTAGTCCCATTTAATTGTGAGGGACGTAACTACCCTCATCTAACCGTTGCTCACATATACACACACAGGTACACACACAGATACACCCACACACACACACACAGAGATACACACACAGATACATACACACACACACACAGATACACACACACAGATACACACACAGATACACACACACACACACAGAGATACACACACAGATACATACACACACACACACACACACACAGATACACACACACACAGATACACACACACACACACACATACACACACACACACAGATACACACACACACATACACACACAGATACACACACACAGAGATACACACACACACAGATACACACACAGATACACACACACACACACACACAGAGATACACACATACATTACGAGGGGCATACGCCGTGACCTGGGTGGCTAACAACATCCTCCCCTTCTACCCCACCGGTCCAGCGCCTGAGGAGGAGGAGGAAGATAGTCTTCTTCCGGATCTTCATCAACATCAGGGCCATGATCAACATCATCAACATTGGTTCCATCATCAACATCAGCGATATCAACGCTATGCTCAACATCGTCAACATCAGCGCAGATCCACACCGATCCATCATCAACATCAGTGGTAGACATCATCAACATGGCGGATGGGTGAGGATCATTTTTGCAATGGCGGATGGGTCTTCTCCGACGTCTTCTTCGGCGCCTCTGTGTATATCAGATCAGCGCTGCATCTATCTCAGATCTGTTGGATCTCCGATGATCTCGATCGGGTTTTCAGAAAACATGGATGCCACCGGCGTTGATGTCAGATTCCGGCGAACTCTTTGGGGTTTCGGCTGTCGGAATCTGAGTTTGAAAATGGAGATTGCATCGCCGGCGGAGAGAGAACATGAAGGAGGAGAAGAGAAATGAAATAATGTTAATCAGTAATAATGAAATAATGTTAATCAATGAAATAATGTTAAACAATCATGAAAAGGGTATTGGTGTAAAAACAAATGTAATCAAATCAGATTACATAAAATAGCTCAGATCTGTTCAAAATTTGAACAGATAGTTGCTTTGATGTATTTTAATAACAAAGATTTGAACATATAAATAGAATTCGATGAAAAAAATTGAGCACATTATAAAGTTTGGACAAAAAATTAGACAAATAAAGAGAAAATTTTGAACAAATATGAAAAAATTGAACAGATAAGAGGAAAAAATTCAACAAATAGACAAAAAAATTAAATAGATAGAAAAAAAAAATTGAACAGATAGCTAACAAAAAGTCAATGGATAAAAAAAAAAGTCAATAGATAAATTAAGGGATAAAATTATAAACAAAATGTTCTTTTGGACTTTTTACCAAGCTATTTCACAAAATATGGATCTCTTATCAGCAAAAAATATTCACAAGATCTATTATCTTAGACAATTGTTAAAGTGAATTTTTCACCAATTTTCTCTTTTATTTTTAGATCTTAATAGCAATGCTTAATACTATTTGGATTGAATAATGTTATACAATATTTTTATTATTGCTATTATTTTATCATATTTAATATACCAATTTATGTAACACATCTAAACATTATTTTTTTCTTATGAACTGGAATCTATAAGATCCAGGGGATGCTATAAACCTAGTCAAAGCTTCCACAGACTTTATCAATTATAGCTATCAAAATTACAAACAGCGTTATATATAATCTTATTTTTTTATTTTGTTATTATTATTATTTTTCATTCTTAAACAAAAAACGATGGAGCTCATATTCATAAATGAATATAAATCTACTCATTTATGTCTTAGACTAAAAAAATGAGATAAAAAAATAAGATTATATGTATTATTTTTTTCAAAATTATTGTCAAATTTTCTATTAAATTTGGTAGAAAGTTTAATAATTGCTAAATGTAGGCAAAAAAATTTCTCCCTCCTCTCTCTTATGACAAGGCTCATAAATAATATTTTCATCTAGTGTTTTGTGAAAATAAATAAATAAATAAAAATTTTGCACCATTGAAATAGAATTATTAAATTGTAACATTTTGATATTATAATGGTTGGAAATCGGGTCGGGTTTAAAACTCATACTTGATTGGGTCACTTATGGTGACATGACCCAAGACCCATAAGGAGAGACCCAGTCAAAGCAGAATTGGATTAACTTATCCTAAGATATGTATGAGATGAGTAACCCACTATCTTATCTCTTAAGGAGATAGAGTTGTGAGTAGTTATAATTCTCCCATATAATATACATATTATATTTGGGAGAGTAGGATTTTAACTATATAGGTAATTTGCTAGTCTCTTACTCTTAGTCACTCTCTTTTTTCTCTCTCCATGGAAACACAGAACCATGCATTTGTATAGTGAATAGTGTGGGTAGTTCTCTAATAATTCTACTCTATTATTGGAAATTATTTAAAGACATTAATGAAAGCACATGATTTACCTACATGATCTATGGATTCGGTTTGAGGGTAAAAGGTATGTCCGAATCCGTTTATTTTCGCTGTGTATTATTTCTTATTTTTTCCTACATTGGTATCAAAGCTACTGTTGGATGTTTTCGTGTTATTTGTGCATGAATATATATATATATATATATATATGATTTGTGCATAAAAATTGTTGTTTTTTTTAACCTTCTCTAATCGTCCTGAATTTCATATATGTTGTAGTCTATATTATTTAGATCACATCTGCAAAGTTTTACAAAAATCGGACGGTCGAATTTTAAGAAAAATAGAAATTCATATTTAATTTTCATAACTTTTATTGCATGCTTGTTTTACATGCTCTGTTTTCATGTTATGAAAAGTATACATTTGGAATCCTTATTTTGAGACCATCAAAACGGTATATTATGAGTTTGATTCCGACTTACGGTTGAGGAAAAAACTCAAGCCATAGTTTTGGATGAGAGTTGAAGCCATGGAAGCATGAGAGGCTTACTTGTGCGCTAACTTCATCATGACGTGTGCTGATGTCATCACGCGCTGAGTCGAGTCGCGCCGCACCGCACCGTGGTGCTTGTTTGTAGCTGTTTAAGGCTTTGTTTATTTAGTTTTACGTTAATTGCTTCTAAATTATTCATTATAATTCTGATTGGAGCATGGCTTATACCATTGGACTCATAATTCATTTTTCTATGCAATGTTAAAGTTTCCAAATTTTTTGAAAAATAATTTTTTTTTCATCAATAAATAATTCAATATTTTTACGTTAAATTGCTCTTGGGGGAGTATGGCTTGGATTTTAGACTTGGAATTTTTTACAGTAGACTACTGTTATGTAATCTTATTTACCGGTATGAGTCATATATTTTTCTAGATTCTATAATATTTAATTTTGATTTTCTGTGTAATTATTAATTCCTTGTAATTCTAAAAAATTCTAGAAAATTGCAAAAATTATAGAAATATGTTATGACATTTAAATACTGTATACAACATGTTAAGTTCTTTTAAATTATTAGAACTTGTAGCATGTTGTTATTTTAAATAACATAATTTATTTATATTGATGAATTTTAATTCCATGAGTAAATTAATCTAGCATGTTTTCTTTTATGAATTATATTGAAATGTTACCATGTGGAGTTAAATATTTTATCATGCTTTAGACATGCCATAGTTAGTGGGAGGTTGTTCGGTTGAGAGAAATCTTTGTAGATTTACTCCTGAAAACTAATATTTTGCGCATGAATTAAATAAAATTTTGGATAATTGTCATTTGTGGCGCAAGAGAAGATTACAAACATAACGAATTTTCGATCTTGCGATTTATGTAATATTGTCACTATTTAATTTAGATTTTGCGGTAAAATTATATTGTGATATGTGTGACAACCGCCTCCTTAATTCAAGAAATTAAATATAGTAATTGT